TCCACGAAAGCTTATGCTCTAATAAATTTGTTAGTCTCTAAGGTGCCACAAGTCCTCCTGTTCTTCTTTTTATTGGAATTAAAAGTTCCAGTTTGAAATGTAGAACTACTATTGACAACATAATTGAAAATCCATTTCTGTTCTGTCAGTGGCAGTCGGTCCTCTAAAACATTCAAACCCAAGAAGAATATTCCTGAAGGCTCCCATCAGTACGAGCTCTTGAAACATGCAGAAGCAACCTTGGGAAGTGGTAACCTTAGACAAGCAGTTATGTTGCCAGAAGGAGAGGACCTCAATGAATGGATTGCAGTTAACAGTAAGTCCTTAGAAAAAATAACTGGCCTGCATACTTGAGAAAACTGGGTGTGTATTTTAAAGCATCTTTTCACACTTACAAATATTGAATGGATACTCCATTTTTAGATTTATTGACTGTCAGTGGGATTTTGGCTCCTAAGTGCCTAAATCCCTTCTGAAAAAAAAATGTGAATTAGGCTCCTAAATCAGTTAGGCATTGCAAGGCTGGTGCAGCAACACCTACATACCTGAAGAATCTGAGCCTAATTCTTTTGAGGGGAGAGGGATATTTCCAAACCAGTACTTCTCTGTTCATGTTATTTTTGCTTTTTGTTTTATTATATTGGATTATTAAGCAAACCGTAACTATCACAGGCTTCAAAAAGAAAGTTAGTGGTGCCTAGAACATGTGTCAAGTTAATCACATTCTCACAGTTTAACTCTTGGTTTATGCTCAGATGACATTCTGTCAGGCAGGAATATGTGTGATGGAAGCTTGTAGACACTCTCCGTATTTTCCAATATTTGCACCATAGAAGCATAGTATCTTTTGTACATAATATGAACACTGGATCAATTTTGATAATTGAAAACTATTAATAAATGTGGATTGATTTTTATTTAATTGCAGTTTAAGTAAGTTTGTTATTCAACTACAATAAAACTCCTATCTTGACTAATTCACTGGCAACACGAGTGTCAATTCCTAGCTGGACAACAATGAAACAATTTAAACTAGACTTCCCCTTTTTAAAAGGGTTTCCAGTATAGTCTAATCTATACTAATATATATTCTAAGAAACTTAAGTGGCTGTTCCCAAGCTAAACAAGAAAATGATATACAGGCTACCTTTGGTCTGAAAGTGTCTGTCTTAAATTGTAAGAAGCACATTGTAATACCCTTGTTTTATTAGTGGAGTAATAATCAATGCAAGGATTGAGATTTTTTTTTTGGTTAGAAAAATATTACTGATCCTGAAAACGTTTGCACTGGTCTTCAAACTAAAGACTTTGAAAGTCATTTCGGCATGATTTTAGTGTGTGATATTTTATCACTACACTTACAGATTAATGCTGATGCCCTGTATTGTTTGGAAGCTGGGGAGTCTGTTTTCAGATGTTAAGACATTGGTTTTCAGCACTCCAAGGTTTTGAGCTTGGCAGCCACTACATGGCTTCCCAAAAGATTGAATTCAACCAAGAGAAATTGCATACTAGACTTAGAAATATTTTAGTGAAATAGGATTATGGGTTCCAATTAAAAAAAAACAACATCAGATCAAAATGGCTACAAAATAGAAATCTTCACTCTGAGAAGGTTGTTACTGGCAGTGTGATGCAATGCAGAATGAAAACCACTTTTCTCTGAAAATGATGTTGTGTTCATACTAGTGATGATGGTATTTCCATCTGACCAGATAATCCACCAGAGAAGATAACATCAACAAATTTAAATTCTCTGTACACTTAAAGTTGATGTATTGTTTTTGCAGCTGTGGATTTCTTCAATCAGATCAATATGTTATATGGGACCATCACAGAATTCTGCACGGAAGCAAGCTGTCCAGTGATGTCTGCTGGACCAAGGTAGGAAACTCATTGCAGTATACTAGACATAATATATAAACAGGGGTAGGTCACAAATATAAATAAATAGGCAACATTAATGAAAAAAGAACAGATAATCATTTGGTGTTTTATAGTCTTATTGTCATGCTCCCATGAATTATTCCTATCCCCCCACATACAGCATTGAAAAATTGATAGGGTGCATTTTGGGGAACTTTGCATTCCTATGAGTTATCAGGTACTGGCGCTGTCAGAGGGAGGATGTTGGACTTAGAGATATTATTGGTCCAATCTGGTGTCTTTTATACTGTATATTTACACAGGAGTGAAGGATGGGTCACAACATTATCTCTATTGGTCTGAAGATCACATAGATTCCTGTCATATTCATGATCCAAATATATTGATTCAGTGAAACCTTTTTTTCAAGAAAACATTTTGTTTTAAAGCACCTCAGTTACGTTACAGAACTGCATATTAATTTATTGATCAAGAATCTTTTTTTAGATTATTCACGTGTGCGAAGAATTTACTCAGACCACTTATGCTGATTTTCAAAACTAAAAAAAATTGTTTTCACTTCATTAACACCCACCCACAGCACCTAGGCTCTGTACTTAGGGGTAGAAAAAATCATAATTTCTTTCCAGTGACCTCACCCAGCAGAGATGGATGGCTGGAAATAGGGGAAGCTGAATGGTCATGATTATACTGGTTCAAAACAGGAAGGAGAGCCTCACAGGAACTCCAGACTTCTTTCAGAAGAATACAAAACATCTATGAGAAACTCAGCAATATAATAAACTACTTGCTTTGTTGTCACAAACATTAATATATCAAGCCCAATGCTGAATATCTCATAAAAGCCCTTTGATTTATTTGGACTTTTGTAGTAACATGCTCCGTATTTTTTTTTAAAAATGTGTAGGTTGTGTTCTCCATGCCAAGTATACACAGTATTCTGAATTCTTGCAGCTGTAAAGGACTCTTGTTTTGTAGCTTCACACATGTCCACAAAAACTTTCCATGCACTCATAAAGCATTGTGGTTTTTAGCACAAGATCAGATGCGTTATCTACTGGGGCAACCTAATAGTGCCAGTTGTTCTGTGGAAAGGGCCTAGTCATCTCAAAGGAAGGCTCATGTATATCTTGTGGTGGGAAGGGATATGCTCATGTGGCAAAGTGTTGGAGGCAGTAGGTCTGATGTCTTGGGGGGTAGAGGGCAGTACATGATGGGTTTGAATGCACATGGGAGTTGTCTCATATTCAGATGTGTCTAATATGGCAGGTAGCACATATAAAGCATCTCTTTCAGGGCGGAAAGAAACACAAGTTTCACTACAGTTTTTTTTTCTTCCAGCAGTTTCACTAGATTAGAGCATAGCGGCATATGCCACAGCTAGGTATTCTGATTGTGGCATTTCTTCCTGAGGTGTAGAAGATTTTTGTTTACTATAGTCAGCAAAGACTAATGAAAGTTTACAACTATGACGCCGTAAAAAGGAGTCCGGCTGACATGCAGTATTCATTATGCTCAATGTAAAACCCTGTCCTATGATTTTATTTTACTTGTTAACCGGTAGTATCTAGGCTTGAAAGTTTTAGGTTAGAAAGTTCCTGTTTCTATATTTGGTGTGATTTCCTTTCAACACTTCCTGTTTGAACTGGAACATTTGGTGTCTGCTTTTAGTTTGTGACGGTTGGGGTTTGTTAGCGAGAGAGAAACTTCATATGAGTAAAGTATGCAGTTCTTCCAAGTTTGCTGTGTGACATTGCAGAACTCCGATTGCTTTCTTGGAGACCTACTGTCAATTCCTACATAAAAGTTTGGGTGGTCCTTTGAAATTACTTAGATCACAAAATCCTGTGCATCAGCCTCAGACTTAGGATTTCAGATGTACTTTTGCAGATGTACAGTCTTGCTGATGTCTTCAGAGCTTGAATTGCCATTGCTCTCCTTACTGGAAGCCAATGGAGGGGCATATGATTCATGCTCAGCAAAAGGATGTTAGCAGCAATAGATACTGCATATAATTCCTCAAACTAATTTCCTCAACATTCCCTGAAAACAGTTTTTAAAATTTGACTCTAGTTGTCTGCTTTAACTTTTTAAAGGAACTTTTTTTTTAAATATATATATATTATTCGTCACTTTCTTCAGGATCGAAATTACTAAATTTCACTCATTACAAAGTAACTGACGATCTGAATTAAAACACTTCTGTTGTGGTAGCACCAAAGGCCCCAGTCTAGATTTGGACTCTTGTGTGAAGCACTGTACAAACACAGATAAAGGAACAGTCTCTGCTCTAATGAGCTTACACCCGAAGGCTCTGATTCCTCAAACAATTAGTCATGTGTTCAACTTTAAGCATTAGTCATCCTGTTGACTTCAAGCGGTTCTACAGAGGTCTGCTGTACGGTGTTCGGTGCAGGATCACATCTTTTAAATAATATCTTTTAACAAATGATCCTAAAGCATTTGGCAAAACAACATTCATTTTCCTGCAAATGCTTTTCCTGAATAGTAGCCCACTTGACTTTAATGGAATTAGTCATACTTTATACTTGCATGTATAAAGATTTCAGTATTCAGCCCTAGGTATATTGTAATAAGACTTTTAAAAAAAAATTCCATCATAAATGTTTATAGAGAACCAGTTCCCTTGTGAATTGTGTAGGTCCTTGCAAGCCTTCAAGTGAGCCAAATTCTCACTGTAGTCTATGGGATTCCCAAGCACAAAGCGCTTGTACAATCAGACCCCAAATAGATGTTTTTATAATACTGGCTAAATCCTAATGAGCTATATTCATGACTCTGTTTTTTCCTTCCATCTCTAGCATTCAACAGTTGTGGTCAGATTCTGCTTGGTAACTGCAGGATAACATGCCAAACTTATAACTTCTTTCCTTCTCCTACAACCAGTAATCATATATATATGGTTTGGTCAGCTCATCTTCTTGCTCGGCTCAGCTTGGATGCCCGTTTAATGAGGAATATAGTACATATAATACAGTGCCTTCTAATTGTGATTTTTACATGTATCTTTAGTTCCTCCCCAAATGCCTTTTTGACTAAAATTTTCATCTTTTTTCCAGTCCCACATGATTTTTTTGCATGTAATTTGGGGTTGGGTAGAAGGAATGGTAAAAGGGAACTTGGAAGACAATCAGCTAGGCTGAGCATGAGAACATTGATGAAAACTAAAATTAAGGCATTTTTCAAATGTGCTTTTTTAGCATGTTGGAATAACTCAAATGGTTTTGGTTTAAAATTTAGCACATCTCTCAGCCACAGAAAAGATTCACTCTTCATTTTGCCAAGTTTTGGGAAAATGTAAGAAATAAAGAAGCTTGTTTAAATAGCACATGCATAGTATTTTCCTTCCTGATTTAAGGGCACACATAGTGCAGTTATGGGTACATACCATTTTTGGATATTCACATACAGACTTTGATCCTCCGGACCCTCCTGCATCCTGGCAGCTGTCCATACTGAACCAGTCCTGGTTGCCTTCTTCCCTTCCCTCCCACCAATGGCGGGCCAGGTTCAGAGTTGGTGATATGAGTTTATTGATAATGTTTGAGATCATTGATTTACATGCTGAATAGGCAGAAGGAATGGGTGTATTAGGAAAAGCAACCAACAGAATGCTTTATGTTAGACAGTCTTACACACTCCCCTCCTAGCTTCTCAGTGCATAAATCCCACCAACATAACTTTTCATTATCTCTGAATTTTGCCTAGTATTAGAGGGGGCCTGGAAGGTGGGATATGGCACTTAAAATTTTAAGCTTCCTGTGCTATGGGTTATTTATCCCAGAATGCATTGTGTCCAGGGTGCACGCTTTGAAATGAAAAGCACTATGGCTCATTAGAAAGGCTGCCAGGACAGCTGGGTCTCAGTGCCTCTAATTTCACTCTTCATGCACTGCCTGGTGCACAGCGTACTCTGAAGTACACTCCCACAGAGTGTAGGAAACATAAGTTGCATGAACACTGTAATAAACTCACTAGCATTCTCCCTTTAGTGATTTTTGTTTAATTTTATTACAAAATTAAGCTTGTTCTGTGGCATGGTTAAGCGTTTAAAATGTCAGAAACCAGGAGCATAAGAACATAAAAATGGTCACACTGAGTCAGACCAATGGTTCATCTAGCCCAGTATCCTGTCTCTGACAGGGCCAGGGCCAGGTGCTTCACAGAGAATGAACAGAACAGGGCAGTTTTGACTGATCCATTCCTTGTCCATCCAATCTCAGCTTCTAGCAGTTGGAGGCTTAGAGACATGTGGAGCATGGGGTTGCATCCCTGACCAACTTGGCTAATAACCATTGATGGACCTATCATCCAGGAACTCATCTAATCCTTTTTTGAACCCAGTTATGCTGTTGGCCTTCACAGCGTCCCATCGTAACAAGTTCCACAGATTTACTGTACATTTTGTGAAGAAGTAATTCCTTATGTTTGTGTTAAATCTGCTGCTTATCCATTTCATTGGGTGACTCTTGGTTTTTGTGTTATGTGACAGAGTAAATAACACTTCCCTATTCGCTTTCTCGACACCACTCATTATTTTGTAGATCTCAATCCTTTCTATTTTCCTCACTAGGATTCAACTTCCAATTTTTAAAAGGCCTCTAATTGCCTCTTTTACTCTGTTGTTTAGCTTAGCCATAGTGGCATTTTTTTTGGTCCTTTCACTGTTTTCTTTTATTTGAGGTATAAATTTAGTTTGAGCCTCTATTATGGTATTTTTAAAGAATCTCCATGCAGTTTGCAGGCATTTCCCCCCTGTGACGGCTCCTTTTAATTAGCTTCCTCATTTTTGTGTAGTTCCCCTTTTTGAAGTTAAATGCTGGTGTGGTGGGTTTCTCTGGCCTCTTTATCCCTTCAAGGATGTTAAATTTAATTACATTAAAGTTTAAAGATATAGGGCCAGATCCTCATCTGACATAAATTTGAGGTAGCTTCATTGACTTCAGTGGAGTTATGCCAGTTCATACCAGATGAGGATCTGGCCCATGATTTCCATGTCGAATGTGTCGCATTGCACATTTAAGACATTAAAGTTAATGCTACACACAGAATCATAAAATACTACATATTCACAAGGTACCCTGGTTACATTTAAAGTTGGGACTCGGTCTTTGACTCTGATGTTATTGCATATAAAATGCCAACTAGACTGCATTATTCATTTTACATATACTTTTACCATAACACAGGAATGATAGGTTCAAGCCCAAAGAAGCCATTATGGAATATTAAAGGCAATGCTATATCAAATGGTTCAAATAGCAACTGGGAACAGGGACTGCTGGCTTCTGTCCCAGCTCTGACTTATGGGGCAGGCTATTTAATTTCTCTGTGTATCAGTTTACTCCAGTTTACTTTTAAAAATCTTTACCTTCCCAATAGATTATAATGAAAGAGAACCATCTTTATTGCGTTGCAGTGGCTTCTGGCCCAGACCCTTCACTCCAGGGCAAGCAGGACAAGGGAGAAGCAGTTCACTTAAACTTGGAAGGGGAAAATGGGACCTCTCTAGTACATCTCCTCGTGACTGTTCAAGGAGCATTATTAATTGGCTCTAAAGGGAGCTGTGGTCAGCTCTCCTCAATTGCACGATCGCCATGTTGTACACTTCATGGAAACAATAGGAAGTCGAGATTAAACCATAAAGAAAAGAGACTAACCCAGTTGTGCGTAAAAATGACATGGAATCTGGTTTAAGCCGGAACCAAAATTCTAGTTTCCTGGTTAGGTTCTGATAGAGCCCCTTTTTTAATCATTCTTCTGCTAAAAAAGTTTGTTTGCACTACCAGTGTTTAACAAGTAAAACAGGGAGAGCCTATGTCTAATAAAGAAGTGTCTGGAAAAGTAAAATTGTTTCTCTTTGTTTAAAGAAACCTTGTTTTTTTCCATAGGTATGAATACCACTGGGCAGATGGTACCAATATAAAGAAACCAATTAAATGTTCAGCTCCGAAGTATATTGATTATTTGATGACATGGGTTCAGGACCAGCTGGATGATGAAACCCTCTTTCCTTCAAAGATTGGTAAGTGAAATCATGACAGTCATGCACTAGGCAGGGTAATACTGTGGTGGTGAGGACTGTAAAAGTACTTAGCTGCATTTGAGAGAAGCTATAGTGACAGTAACTGGTTGTTGGAGTATTTTCCTTGTTATATCCTATTTTTAACTGGCTAATACAAGTATAAAAATTCATCTAGTCTGAAGTTTGGAATCCAGGCTTTCTCTTTTCAAATCATGTCATTTAGTCCTTCCTGTGTGGATATGTACCATGGGTTGAGCTGCAGATTTGTCACAGCATTTAAAAAAAAAAATCAGAGTAGTTACGGTACATTTAGTAAAAGTCGGGTTTTGTGACAAATGAGGAGGTGGGGTGGAGAGGTGCAGGTGCTGGAGATCAAGCCCACCCCGTGCTCACCCGGTAGGGGTAGCTCTTGTCTTTTGGGATTGGACCCAGTTCCCACTCCAGGCGTTGCAACCTGGTGCATGGATTCATAGCACTGTTCAGTTTTGGTCTGGGTGCCCCATCATGATGATGATGCAGGAGCAGCTGGGCCAAACCTGAGAACCATTGCAACACCATGCACCAGGTCACAGCACCACTAACTCAAATTTGGCCTGGCCACCCACTTGTTGTGGTGGAGGGGCAACTGGGCCAAACCTGAGCAACATTGTGACCCCGTGTGCCAGGTTGCAGTGCCCAGAGCTGGAAATCAGGCCCAGCCCCATGGGACAGGAGCCATAGCAGTCGCTGCTGCAGGGTGAGTTTATTGAAATCCTGGACACACAGGTCATGGACGCATGGGAAAGTCTTGGTATCTGTGACCTTTTTCCCCACTGTGACAAACTTGCTGCCCTGATAGTGGGGTAGATTCTGATCCCATAATCACTATAACAGTGGTAGGAAAAGTGCAGCCTGCAGGTCACACACGGTCCGTCAGGGTAATCTGCCGGGAGCGGCAAACGGGGAGCTGCGGACGGACAATGTAAACAAACTGTTTCGCGACCTGCTAGTGGATTACCCTGATGGGCTACAGGTTGCCCACCACTGCACTAGAGCTAGAATTTAACATCATCTCTAGTAAACTCTCACCTGAAATCTGTGTCTTTGCTGAAGCTACTGTATGTCAGGTTCACATCTCCAAATAAGCAGAGAAATCTTCGCTCAAAATTTCTAAGAGATAGAAATCTCCCATAGTGAGGATTAAGCGATGTAATGTGGCCAAGAAAGTAAACTCCAGTAAGAACAAATTGTCCTTTATAACTCAAAACTCTTTTCAAATGAGATTTGTTGCCAGGTGTTTGTCCTTAGCATGGACTTGATTTTGATTTTTTTTTAAAATAAGCAAGAGTTCTTAATGTTCTTTGCAGTGCATCCTAAAAGCTCTCTTATTGGTAGACATGATGTTGTGTAGAGTAGTTAAAAGGTATCATTTAAAAATTTAATATTTAAAACACTCAAAGATCAATTAGGTGCCCAACCCTCACTGAAAATTAATGCTGCTTCATAAATTATACGGTACATGCCTTGCCTCAACTAGCTACATCTGGGTAAAAAGTACTTGTGGATTGTCTGCAGTAGGATTTTGCATCAAGAAAGCTAACAGCATAAAAATGCACCTTTTTTGCAGGGAAGACTTAGACTTAGTATACAAGTAAAGAGAGAAACTTGAAAGTGTTTCCTGCTCTGGATGGGAGAGGGGAAAAAACAAACTATGGACCACCGCTGTTTAAAATGCTTAACTTTTCCTTCTAAATCAAATCTCTCACTGAATGTAATTCAATGTGTGGATTTTGGGTGTAGCTAAAAAGCAGTAAACATTTCAGTATCTTATGATCCCCTATTTTGTTGTCTACTAATACTTGTTTGTTGAAGGTAAGTATAGAGTGACTTAACTATTCTGTTTAAGTCACTTAGTTGGGGTTTTTTTAATCAATTTAAATGAGGTTGAGGCTTTGTAAATCTAATTTGAAAATGTGTGCTTTTGCAAATTTAGGTTAAAATGTATAATGAACTGTGTTATAGTTTGTTTTTATATGTAATTACTGGTAGGGGATTGTTTGAATTTTATAAAACTGTTAGTCAAAAAATCAGAATTTTGCTAGTTAATCCCCTGATCCTGCAAACGTGTACCATAGTACCATGAATAGCTGCACTGACTTCAGTGGGATTACGCATGGTTCGTGTTGAGTGTCTGCAGCATTAGGGAATAAATTAGTATTTTTACTGAAAATTCCTCTGGATGGTATAAAATCTTTGTGACATGAAAACAAAATTGCTTTGGTTTAAGAGTTATTTAGACTTTCAATATGTTAACACAGTTAGGATGAATGTTTTTGGGATACTGGCCAGAATTTTAAAGTCCATAATTAAGCTTCTATGGTTGAGATTTTTGAAAGCACCTAAGTGACTAAAGAGTACTCGTCCTATTGATTTAAAACCCTTATGGAATATAGCTAAGGCCCCGATCCTGCAGACACTTACACATGTGCTTTACTTCACTTCCATAAGTAGTCCTGTTAATTCCAATGGGACTGCCCATAGTAGTACAGATAAGCTTGTATGTAAATGTTTGCGGGATCAGGGCCTAAGAAGCTCCCCAAAGGGGAGTCAATTCTCTTTTACAGATTAGGGTGATAATTTAAATGACTTGCCCTGTGCTGTCACACAGGAAGTCCATATCAAAATAAGAATTAGAATACATATGTTAGATTATTAGACTTGGCCTCTATGGCCAATGGGATTCCCATCTCTCTTCAGCCAAGCACTTTCTCTCATGATTGATTTCAGGGAGACTGTTTGCATGTTTAAAGTTAGATGTTTGCATAAGTGCCTTGCTGAATCAGGGCCTATATGCACAAAGGGTCTGTTTTTTTATAAAGGTGCTGAGTTCCCTTAGTTCTTGTTGACTTCAAAGAGAACTGTGGATGCTCAGTAGTTTGTGGAAATGGGATGTGAGTGATGCTTTGAATAAGTGATTATTTGCTCCAATTCTCAGTTTGACATAATTTATTAAAAGTGTATTGACTAGATTTTTACAACTGAATAAATAAGTTTTGTACCCTTACTGAAGCTGAGGTTTCATTGTTTCTAATTAAGTCTAGTGCCCTTTGGCAGAAAATTTTCATTCTGTAGCTGGGCTTTCATATATTAAACTGGATTAAGAAATGTTTTGCATATGTTTGCACATTTCAGGTGTCCCTTTTCCTAAGAACTTCATGTCTGTGGCAAAGACTATATTGAAGCGTCTGTTTAGGGTCTATGCCCATATTTACCACCAGCACTTTGACTCTGTGATGCAGCTCCAGGAGGAGGCCCATCTCAACACCTCCTTTAAGCACTTTATCTTCTTTGTACAGGTAAGCTTTAAATTACTAGCTATTCGTCCTAAAGTGACTCCTTCTAGACACATTTAAAGGGGCACTATCAAGTTAAATCTAATCCAGAACGTAGGTTTTATATAAAACAGATTTACAGAATCTACAAGACTAATACAAATGTTTCCATAAATGTTGATTTTTCCGCAATAAGTCTGGGATCACTGGGAAAATTCCAGAAGACTGGAAGAAAGCTAAGGGGCCAATATTTAATAAGAGTAAACAGGATCACCTGGCTAATTAGAGGCCTGTCAGTCTGACATCAATCCCAGGCAAAATAATGGAGCATCCGATACAGGACTCGATTAATAAAGAATTAAATGAAGGTAATATAATTAATACCAATCAACAGGGGTTTATGGAAAGCAGATAGTGTCATACTAACTTTTTTTTATGAAATGATATGTTTGGTTTATACAGACAATAGCGTTGACACAGTAAACACCTCTACCCCGATATAACACTGTCCTCGGGAGCCAAAAAATCTTACCACGTTATAGGTGACACCGCGTTGTATTGAACTTGCTTTGATCCGCCGGAGCACGCAGCCCCGCCCCTCCGGAGCACTGCTTTACCGCGTTATATCCGAATTCGTGTTATATCGGGGTAGAGGTGTACTTAGACTTCTGTAAGGCATTTGACTCGGTACCTAAAAAGATATAACATTAACATGGCACACATAAAGTGGATTAAAAACTTCCAAACATAATTGTAAATGGGGACTCCTCATTGAACAGGTGTGTTTCTAGTGGGGTGCTGCAGGGATCTGTTCTTGGCCCTACACTATTTAACATTTTTATGAATGATCTGGAAGAAAACAAAATCATCACTGACAAAGGTTGCATATGACATAAAAATTGGGACAGTGGTAAATGATGAAGAGGACAGGTCACTAATACTGAACGATCTGGATCAGTTGGTAAGCTGGGCGCAAGCAAACCGTATGCATTTTAATATGGCTACATGTAAATGTATACATCTTGTCTTACTTAGACGATATTTCTATTCTGGGAAATTGACTGAAATAGATTGGGGAGTTGTGGTGGATAATCAGCTGAACACATGCTCCTAGTGCGATGCTGTAGTCCGAAGGGCTAATGCAATCCCTGGATGAATAAACAGTGGGATCTCAAGTAGAAATACAGATTTTTACCTTCCTATTTGGCACTGGTGCAATGCTGCTGGAAAACTGTGTCCAGTTTTGGAATCACAATTAAAGAAGGATGTTGATAAATTGGAGAGTTCAAAAAAGAGCTGTGAGAATGATTAAAAGGTTAGAAAACATGCCTTATAGTGATAGACTCAAGGAGCTTCAATCTATTTAGTTTAACAAAGAGAAGGTTAAGAGGTGACTTGATTATAATTGATAAGTACTTACACTGGGAACAAATATTTAATAATGGGCTCTTCCATCTAGCAGAGAAAGGTATAACATGATCCAATGGCAGAAAGTTGAAGCTAACATTTTTAACAGTGAGAATAATTAACCATTGGGACAATTTACCAAGGGTTGTGGTGAATTCTACATCACTGACCATTTTTAAATCAAGCTTGGATCTTTTTCTAAAAGATAAGCGTTAGAAATCATTTTGGGGAGGTTGAATGGCCTGTGTTCTACAGGAGGTCAGACTAGCTGATCACAATGGTTCTTCTGGCCTTGGAATCCTATGAAATCTATGAAAGTTAGATAATGTTTCCAATGGACATGTAAGGGATAAACTTCTGCTGCCAATATTAGATGGCTAGCTGAGTGTAATTAAAAAGGTAATCGATTGAGATGGCACTTGACAAAGCCACGTCAAGTTTTGCTCTTGTAGTTAAAGCTGAAGGCATTAGAGATATGGGTCACGTATCTGGTTCTGCTGCCGATTCACCACATACTGTTTATTTACTTTCTCAGTCTCCTTGTGTCCTCATTTCCCAATCTGTGAAACGGGGATAAGACTAGACCTGGTCAAAAAATCCTATTTTATTTCTCTGGTAAACGTTAAACAAAACAATTGCATTTAAAAATCAATTACCAGAGTTTTGAATGAAAAATATCAAAACAAAACCAACTTTTTGTTTAATTTCAAATCAAAATTTGTATTTAACAATTTTCTCTGAAAAATGTAAAATTTAGTCAGTGTAGTTGTTTTCACGGAACTTCAGTTTTGTTGGGGGAGACTTAGTCTAGCTCTAGAGAATATCAACCAGACTGAGCTTTGAGAGGATTAATTAGCATTTATCAAATAAACTAAGTATTTTAAAATCACTTGTATCAAGCTGTTTGTGGTAAAATACTGGAATTCTTTATTTTGCCTTAGTTTTGAATTAAATGGATGTTGCGTCACTTATTCTGTCTACTGCAATTTTTATTTAAATTTATCCTTTTTCATGTTTCTCTCTCCCCCTGCAGGAGTTCAACTTGATTGACAGGCGTGAGTTGGCTCCTCTTCAGGAACTAATTGAAAAGCTAGGATCCAAAGACAGATAAATTTTCCCTGGAAGAATTCTTTCTGCTTTCAAACATGGTTCCTCTTTCTTGCTTCATATACAGCTGCAGCTATTTCTTTACCACTTTGTCTTTAGTGGCACAAACCCTGAGTAACCAGGTACCACAGCTAGCGGGTCTAAAACAGATGCTTTCCAGTCTAGCACAGTTACTGCCCTTCTTCCATCTTAGTAGCTGGTGTGGGGGCTTCATTGCAAAGAGGTACCAGGTCAAACTTCATGTAAAATCCAAGGTCTGCAATTCAGCAAAAGTGTCTTCAGAGCAAAGTAGCTATGAATTCTAAGAGCTACTTTATCAGATCTTTTACTTGGAAAGGTGGGGTTCATGATTGCATTAATCCCTGCAATGTCATAATTTTCTAACTGAACCATATTTTGTCAATCTGTATAAATTGAAAATTATGCAAAATTTCACCAATGCAGAACTACATCATTATAGTTTGCATTAGCAGTTCCAGAATTAACTTTCTGCTCTAGAAATTGGATGGATAAGTACTTTGAGACCTCAACTCAGCTTGCAGTTTTGGGCGTATGAGGTTTTGTGCACAACCCCCTAAATTTGTATGCATGGATAGGGGAGCTGTTTACCTAATGTTCAAGTGCACCTTCAGGAGTTTGGATGCATAACATTTACAGGACATTTGTGGAAAAATTTGGCCACATAACACTTAATTTTTCAAACACTTCCACAAATGTGGCTGCTGTAATTTATCTGACATGAAACAACAGATGGTAAGAATTCTGTAGATACTATATTTGGCTAGAAATTGTTTGCAAAACTGCAAATGCAAATATTTTGGTTTGGGTTTTATTCCATCCAGCGTTTAGTTGCTCAACAAAGTTCCATTTTAAAGCTCTGTTTGCTAGTATAAAAATTGTTGAATACTTCTGATAAGTGCATTACGTTATGAACTTCGATATTCCACTGTTTTCTATGTAGGAAATAGAACTATTTTTGCAAATTTTATGATGGATGCAATTTATACTTAAAACACACCGCATTTTTATCTCATAGAACTAGACTGTTAATAGGTATAGGTTGGTATATGTAGCTTCAGCAACCAAAGCAATTTAAAAAACAATCTGGTATTCAGTTATGACTTTGAATTGCACACACACATATATGTATGTGTGCCCCCTGTGGATTTTTGTTTGTGTACACCATTTCAAATTCATATGTATCTGTGGTTTTTAAAAAAAGGAAAAAGGTAACTTAATTCACTTAAACTCATTGTGTGGCTTTCAAAACCTTTTTTTAAAAATGCTGGATCAAACATAGGAGGAAAAACTACTGGTGTATTCCTTATGAGTGCTTTTATTTTATTTTTTTTAGAGTAGTTTGTTTTAAGTTTGTATCTAGATGCACTTTGAATTTGCCTTAGAGCCTTAAGTAAAATAGTAGACTAGCCATGAATTGCATGGACATGAGTTATGATCTAAAAGTGACTAAGATAAAGCAAAATAGAGCCCATCTAAAAAAACCCAGATGAAAAACTTAAGACTGGCACAAAAGCGTAAGTGTGGAAGCTTAATTACAAGAGAAACAATCTCCATGTTCCCCACTGTGAACTGCGGAGTTTTCTTTTTTTAAATAAGTGTCACCATTATCTAATGGGATTAGTACTGTATTTTGACAAATTAAAACAGTTGCGCCAGCACCATCTGATTGTGAAAAATCTGAGCTGCAGATACCTAGTTTCTTTGCTGGACTGTGAGACATCATGAGTATCATTAACGGTGTTTTGCTTAAAAAAACATTCCATTCTAAAGGCCTGATCCTGAGTTGTTTTGATGTTACTTGTGGCATGTGTCATTCCAGGAGAGAAACCTGAGGCTGACAGGTCTCAAGAGCTTGGAGGTAATTTTGTTTTAATGCAGTATTGATTTACATTATTAAATACTAGTATCTTAGAAACCAAGTTAACTTGTAGGGCAGACTTTGCAATTCAGAGATGAAAGGGTCCTAGCTAGGACAGGTGACATGTTCCACCCATAATAAGTGGAATTTTGTGTTGAAACATCAATATTTCTTTTCAGGTAGCTTTGGCTTTTAATTTTCCTTCCTGGTGTAGGGAGTAGCCAGCGTTTTTCTTTTTAAATAATCTAGTCCCCTATGCTTCTTCTGCCCAACCTACTACAATGGTGCATGGGAGAAACACCAGAAAAAGCTGGGCTGGAGCTGTGCAGAGGGGAAAGTCAGCACCCTGGGGATGGTCCATTCCCCCGCCACACCTCACCAACTTTGCTCTTTCTGCACAGCCACTTTTTTTTTCCTCTTTGCAAGCCTGTTACCTGTGAACTGCAGTTCAAATGTGTAAAATTAATGGTGCTTAAAGCACCAGTAAATCCACTGCACGCTGTGTAATTCTCCCCACTCTCAGGGATTGTGAAGCTCCTGAATGGGCAAGCAGTCATGGCACTCTGCCTACTGGTCCAGGAGAGCACTGAGGGAGAGTCCCACATGACTGCCTAGGGATCTGCGGGGTTGAAATCCTGCATAAATATGGATCCTGTGCCACTTCTGCCTTTGCTGGCCCCTCTGCCCCTACTGGAACCCTATAGAAGAGTGTGTGAGATGATTGCTTACCCATACCACTGTTCACCCTACATGTCAAAGCAACTAGTTTATACTGGGAGATTTCAAAAGTATGTATCTTTTTTACAAGATGACTTTATTTTCAATCTCAGATGTCTAAAATCCAAACTTTGTAACTCCAGTGACCCACTGAATTCTCTCTGTAAAATACATATATAGCCTGTTCCCAAGATGAAGTCATTTTTGCCACATTTCAGCTGATTTGTTTGTCATCCTATCTTTGAGTCCCTGAGTGAACAGGCCAATGCCATAAAGTAAAACATTGCCAAAACTATTTTCTATCAGTATTTTTCACAACTTGTATTCTTGCTTAGCCATTTATCTGCTATCACACTGCACACGCCTTGACCAAGCACTGCTGACTAAGAACAAAACATGCTGAACAAACTAGTGCTCACTTTGAACATCATAATTAACTTCTGAAAAGTACAGTAGTCATTAACTTTGAAGTGTGGACATGTGCTAGTGGACAAAAGTAAAATTGTATGGTTTCATATACGCTTTGGCTGTGATTTCAAACTGACTCCGTTTACAAAATTGAAAGTCTTTTTTCCAACTCATTCTGGGGTCTGAAAGATCAAGACAGATGCTTTGTCCAAAGGCAGGAATGTTTTTATAGAAGACTGATTGGACTACAGTGGTTGAAATGGCTTTGAAGGAATTCACTTTTTAATCTGCCCGTCCCTTCTGTTGTTGTTGTTAGAATCAGTCAAATTCAAAAACCATTCAGGCTCGGTTTGCCTAGGGTCCAGTGAGCTCTGATTGAAGTTAATGAGAATGGACAGCATGCAGCACACTGCAGCATCTGGCCTTTACATGTAAGGGAAAACTGGCTAAAAGCTTTTTTGAAATCATTCTGCTTCACCAACCCTAAATGGACAGATAAGTAGCTACTTAAGTTTACAGTGTTTGTCAAAAATTGTACAAATAACCTTAGTTTAAAACCACACTGTTCTAGGGTTAGCCTGAGATGTTTTTATGTAAATTGCTCATATTTAAAACCTCATAATAGAACTGTGAATAAAACTTGTGGTTTTTGCTTGGCATCTGTAATGAGTAAGCTTTTGCCCTGGCCTTGCACAAATCCAACTTTTTCGATAGTTTAGTTTTACCTTAAGTGCTTCTGTATTTGTTCTGAGCTTTCTTGCAATGAATAGATTTCAGTATAGGTGATTACTCAACCTTTTCTTCCATTATAAAGAAATGTTGCTGTGATCATTGAGAAAGGTAGGTAAGGCTTCATTTGTTTTAAGGCAAAAGAACTTTTTCTAGTTAGCTTTAAGCTGTATTTTGTTCCTAGCTCAAATCTCTGCCCTCTTCCAAGGCAGGCACTGGTCACGCCAGGGATGAGGGGCAGATTAGTGGATGGATCTCACTTGAAACTCAGCAAGCATCCAATTAATACTGAATATCCAGTAATCTGCTTCAACAAACTCCTGACAAAACTATTGGGTTTCTCTGTTCAGATTCTAGATATTTTTCTGAATTGCACTGTTAATTTAAGAATTCAGGAGGGAAATTAATCATTTAGAGGGGTAGGCTGTTCCATTTGTTAAAGGAAGAATTGACAGTGTTTGAGAAATCCTGTACTAGATTGACTTTTTGAAGTTTTTTATATTTATATCAATACACACACTTCCTCAGGATGGACTAGGGTTGCAAGGTTCTTTCATGCAGCTGTTTCAAGTAGGCAGAAAAGTTTGTTCAGACAATGTTGATACATCTTAACTTGCATTGCTGGTGAGTGGTGCTGTGACTCAAAACTGGTTACAGTATTTAGACCTCTTGCTACTTTCAGTGTTAGGGACAAACTTTAACTACAACTCAATACTGCCGCTGTACCTTGTGTGTTTTCCTGCATGTTTCCTTCAACTTGACTAAACAGTTAGTCCATGGCAAAAAAAAAAAAAACCTGTTTGCATCAATTAACATTAGTGAATTTAATATGAAAATTTTATAGTATTTTTACATTAATAGTTATAAGTTTTTACTTACCTGGGGCTTTTTTGGGTTACTTTTAGGTAAATTTATTGTACTTTTTACAAAATATTTTGTATCTACTTTTGTAACTTCCATTCAATCAAATAATAAAGCATGTGGTATTCAAATGATTTTTCTGGTTTAAACAGGTGAAAACACTGGGGCTATTAAGGATTTTAACCTACTGGCTTATACCAGTTATAACAAGCACAAATGATGGTCAGTCTCTGCAGTGTGGCAATAGCTTTGTATAGTGTTTGCTCATTGCTTCTTACTTTTTCTTTATACTGTAACAATGATGTCCTCTGTTTGCAGTTGTCACCTCCACCATTAAATGTTCAGGGAAGGGCAGTGTAATGGGAATTCAATGTCTGTTCATTTTGGAAAGCTGATGGAACACTTCATACTAATATTTTATGTTGCATCTCCTTTCTAGTAGTATGAAGAAGTGAGGCACCTTTTCAAAAACACCTTAAACAATAGATCATGCTTTATTCCCCCTCCCCCAACCCCCTAAAAAAAGTCACTTTCAGGGAAAGGGTAAAATTTTCAAAAGGCATTTGCTTAAGGAAATAGTAATGGAAATTCCTGCAGCTATAGAAACTTACAACTGAAGTTGTTTTCTCTTCTGAATGATAAACTCCCCCTCTGATTGCAGCAACACGGAGTGGGAAAACCAGGACCCTATCTACAGGCAATTTGCTCTACTTAAACTTAAATTGTTTGAACTGTGTTTACAGCAGGCTTATCGGTCTGCTTCTGGCTCCTAGTAACACATTAAGGACAGGCACAAGATTTAGCAGAGTTCTAGTCCTGGCTTTACCCTATGCTTCCTGCATGAGATTGGGCAACTTAATCTTTTCTGTTTCCCAAATATGTAAAGTGATCATAGGGGGGTTGGTAATACCTGTGAAGCAGTGTCTATTCTCCCAGGAAATGTGCTACAGGTGTGCAAAGTACTTCAGTTAGTATTTACTACAGTGGAAAACTTGTTTTTTCCCTTGTATAAACTTAAACTGCTGGAGAAGAGCTGAACTATCACTGTAGAGGCTCTTAGAAGTGTTTGATGGGATATTTTTCATAATTGTAGCAGGAGGTGTCTGGGGTAGGCCTACCTCAGGCTCATCAAACAAAATGTTATGACTGCAACAATAGACATGTGGGCACCAGAGTTCTGATGAAAGTTGCATAGAAAAAAAGCCTCACAGCCCCTATAAACAAGTTCTTTGCATCAATAACTTTAGGGCCGTAACTAATGAGATATTTCCAGTTTCTTGCTATTAGCTACAGCTCTCCTCAACCACTACTTCCATGAAGCTTTACGAGACAGCAGTAATCATCCAGGTAGGCCCTAAAATTTCATTAGAAACAACCTGAGTGAGGTAATATTTTTAACAGAAGTTCGACCAGTAAAAAAGATAAGATATTACTGGGCCAGCATGGCTATACCACTCCCAAACTAAAGTGTGTATGATGATTAAAATTATTAGATGTCTATTGTTTTAAGTAGCTAATCTAACATCTTATGCATTTCAGAATTTACGCTCCCAAGACACATTATGTATCTAGTCATGTTTGTTTCATGAATCAAGAAGCACTCACCTGCAAACGTGCTATCAGTTAAGTAGAGAGGTTCTAGTGCAACACCTCAGTCTTGGTAGGTAGGGCATAATTGAGATCTCTTGCCAGTTAATGTCCACTAAACCAGCAGCATGTTTTGCAGCAGTTGCAACATAAACAGTAAGGAAAATCCTTCAGTAGATGCAATACTTTGCACCTCTACATCCCTATCTGATAACAGGTGGCTGTAGCAGAGGAAGAAGTTGGACTCCAGCCTTGTAAAATATGGCCACGCAGGGGTACTTTAGTGCTCCTCTAGTCAATGTTCTACTTACCATATGGATTGTTTAAAAAAAAAAAAAAGCAGCATCAAGGTCCTAGGATTTGGCTTACCTAACTCCAGTTACTATTCCTCCATGCTTACCAAGCACCTCAGTCACTGACTAATGCTTACCAGAAAAGTCATTGCCCACCCCCAAAATATCAATAGACAATTACTTATAATGCAATAAAACTTTAATATAACTTATTATTTTAATAGCTAACTATTAACTGGCTGAGGTACAATTAAATCTGGCATGAGAAAGCTTGAACTTAAGGCACAGACATGCTCAACTAAAAGTTGACTAGCCCATCCTTATCAAAGAAACATTCACACTTCACAGGAGTTTGAGTAAAACAAGCACTTTCACAGATGCCATGAAGAAAAGGTGATCCTCATAATTCAGACTCAGAGCATTATGCCTTGAGTTTTGCCCAACAGGAAACCAGAGCACCTTATCCTTTCAAGGACATCATACTGAAGTAATGTAACTTAAAGCCTTTCATTTATTAAGAAACAGTCTTAATTTCATATTCAGTAGCTGTGCCAGACAGCTCAGGACTATCCTGCAAGCTTCTCTTACAAAGCCATGTTTGAAGTAAGATGATTGACTGAGAAGGCACATTGACTAGGGGACTATACAGCCTCTGAGGTAATTTCTTTGTAAGCTGCAGTTTCCTCACTGCCCTGGTTTCCTCTGAGCTACACCAGAACACTAGTGAAGTAGACAGCAAAAACATACATTATTATTTTATTTTATTTAATTTATGCATCCGAAGAAGTGGGCTGTAGTCCACGAAAGCTTATGCTCTAATAAATTTGTTAGTCTCTAAGGTGCCACAAGTCCTCCTGTTCTTCTTTTTGCGGATACAGACTAACACGGCTGCTACTCTGAAACCTATTATTATTTTGGGTTTTTTTGTTCATGTTCTCTTTGTAGAATCACCACAGCTGGGGTCCTTTTCCACTAGATGTTAGTAATGAAAGATACTTTGGAAGCCAATACTTCCCTCTGCAACATGCTCCACAAACCATGGCATTCCAGTTCCATCCTTGACTTACAGTGATTAGTTTTTTGATAAAGTAACCAACTAAGATTTGGCATCAGGTACTTTATGAAAGGATAAGAAATCAATCTACAAGTTAAAATTAAATAAACATGAAATAGGATCTCTCTTTAAATAGCTTCTGAAATACTTACAGTCTTTGTTTTAACACCATTAAATATTGATTTAAAGAGAAGTCCATAATATAAACTTCCTGTTTTGTCTCATGCCCATAGGTGTCCTATCTCCACACAGGTTTCTAACAATGCTGCCTGGTTCATCTTCAGTGCTTTGGAATAGATGTGAATATCCGTAGTCCATGCATTGCTTTAATTTCTTCACTTAGTGCCTAAAATAAGAAATTAAACAAGTCTTTGAACAAAACCACAAAAAAGCAACTCAACTGAGCACAATAGAACAGAAGTCTGTGGTAGAGGCGATGGCTCACAATACCATTATAAAGATAATGGCAGAACAGCAGTTGTTCCTTATGCAAGCACTGATTTTGGACCCTGGTCTGTTACTTGGTACTGGGCAGGAGGAGAGACACTTCCTCACTTGAAACTGAATGGGCCAAATTAACAGCATGATTAAGATGAATACTTCCTTGATGTAGCCAGCTTGTTTTTATTCCTTAATGGGGATAGTGGGGAAAATCTCAGGCTCCTAGAATGATCCAGTACATTGTGAATTCGTTGCAATTCCTCTTAAAGAATGTCACAAAAACTCAACCACATGCTGTAGTTAACCCAGTTTGCTTGGTCTCCATAAATTAGCCAATTAGATGTGGAGCCTCCAACTATTTTGCATTGCTCCCTATTCCAGAAAAGGGGGATTGATAATGACAAAAGAGCCTTTCACTGCCAGGTTATCACTTCAGCTAAAACCCAGGTTTGTGGTGTTTTGGTAGTCTGTCTAGTGGTCCTAGCTCTGATGCCAGACAAGAGTTCACAAGAAATGACACTAATTCACTACAGTAAGATTTCAGAAATTGAGTTACTTTGAAGAAATTGCTTCAAGTTAAAGAAATGAGAGTTGTAGGAAGTACATGCATTAGCTAGAAATTTTATAAAAAATAATTACCTCTTTTCTTCAAATTAACTGGTTTTATTTCAACAGAATTCTAGATAGCATGAAACTATGCTTATAGACTTCCAGTTCCTATGCCTCTTTAAAGTGTTACTAGGTCAGTCTAAATCAGAGGAACGTTCGGGGGGGGGGGGCGCAGCTGGGGTCTGGGTCCAGGCCCAGGCCGCCCAGCTCCGCTCCTGGCCTCGGCTGCCAGCCTCAGCCCCCGGCCCCCTTACTCCTATCAGCATCCCCACTCTAGTGGGGTGGGGGCACAGTTGGGATAAAGGGGGGTATGAGGTAAAGAGTTTGGGGACCACTGGTCTAAATACCTTTGTAAGAAAACCTACGGCAACTCTCAGAGTAAAGGATATGGTGCTAGGAATGTTCTTTCCAATCAACCTAGGCTAATGCAAGTGGAACACATGCAATCCAAGTCTAAGGTTATATCAATTAAAATCTTTCTGCATATACCACACAAGTCTACAATGTAAGCTTTTTGAATTCAGTATATTCAGCACCTTACATTCAGTTGTAAGCTTTTCAGGACAAAGAATAGTCCTATGTGTAGAGTCCTCATCACATAATTGGGCACTATAATTATTAATGAACATTTAGACTTTGAAACATTTAAGTTTTGTAATGGGACAAATCAGGAAGGTTGCAGGGGTGGTATTTTTAATGTCCACATCCTCCCTAGCCCCAACTTCTTACTTTACCACTAGCCATCTATTTTGCTAGGGTGCCAGCAGGCTTGTTGAAACTTATTTCCAGCTGCCCTCTCCCTGATAATCGTGCAAGGAGACTATAGCAGTGTATAAGACCCCTTGCAAAGCAGAACCATTTGGGAGGTACAAGGAGATAAAACTGGGAGCAAATTAAGAAAGGGAAACTGTCAGGACGCTTTTCCTGATACAGAAAGCCACATCACTTGGGTCATTTTGAACTAGACTGCAGACCATCTCATAGGGAAGAATCCTGCAGTAGTAAGGGGATGGGTTAGATGATCCAACAGGTCTTTATCTCCTCTAGCTTTTCTATGCTTGATCAGGTGGTTTCTCCCCACACAGAATAACCCTCAGAAATCTGTGTTATTGATGGTGTGGGAAGGTCAGCATTCAGCACCTAATCC